AAATCTTTTACATCTCTTCTATTTCATATATTTTAATTTTGACTTTGCGCTGCTTTAGTGTAGATATGCTAATACTGCAAAGATTCAATTTCAGTTCTTAATATGGTAAAAATGGTACACCATGATAAAACAGAGCAAATATCAAATATCTGAATATTCTTTTTAGGACTTATTAATGATGGAACAAGTGAAAGACTTCGCTGCTAATGTATATGAAGCCTTCAGTACCCCACAACAACTAGAGAAGTAAACTGCTGTTCAATATGTACAGAATATACTATTTAGTATCCAGTTATTGTGACTATTCATTTTGATAATGAAACTCTTAACAGAGTGCTATAGAATGACTGTCCTTGTAAATCAAACACATTTTAAAAAGTTCATTTCCAAATTTTTATAATGGAATTCCTACAGCTGACTAAAGTAATTATTAATATAACAAAATCTTTGTGCTGTAAGCCTTTGCATTGAGGCAGTCAATTTTAAATAACTTGTTTACAAAAAAACAGTGCAATGAGCACTGTCAACAGAAAGCTTCTGAAGATTAATGGCAGTCTTTACAATTGTGCAGACTACCACAGCAACAGTATGATGGGAAAACTAAGTCCAGTCGATTTTCAGGCTGGAGTAATAAAATCTTTCTGCAGTTTCTCTCCTATTCAGCGACTTATCAGTTGTATTAGAAACACAACATGACAGTAGGCAGATGGAACAAAAATAACCCAGTTATTAAACCCAGTTCTGGTATATCTGACACCATTTTCCCCCATTGGTAAATGAGAATGGGTTTTAGTTGAAGTTTCTCTTGGCACAAAACCACCATACAATTCTCACTCTACAACTGAATAAGAGGGACTTTGATCAAAAGATCATCATGCTCCTATTATATTTCTGGTGGTGGATGAGTAATTATGCTTTTCTCTTTTTTAACCACCAAATGTTTTTCTTAAGCTGACTTGGGGGAGCAGATAAGCAACCCAGCAATGGGCTAGATGGCTTTCAAAGTTTTAGGTTCTTCAGACTGGGACTAGTATATGCTAAGGGTCTGCTGGGGTCTGAAAAGTGCAATGTTGAGCTTGCTGTATAAGTTTGGAATTGAAATGCATTGTTTCTAGCAAAAATTATGTTTACAATGTTTATAAATGGCTATTGCTGTATACATTCATTTTGTAAATATTTTTAATTTGTATTTACTTGGATCCCTACAAAATATCTGAATCACAATAAACTATTTTGACAGATTACATACTGTCCTGGTCAATATTGTTTATGAGATTAGGGATTTATTGTTTAGAGTTTATCCCCAGTTCTTTGAATGTAAAGTGAAACATCAGATAGTTGCAAAGCTGCAGTTTAATCAGTTAATACAAATAATAAAAGATCTAATGTAACAATACAAGGTAACAATAGCTAAATCTCAAACGTGAATTTATCCCTTTTGAAGTTGTCTTAGACAATTTCACTACTGATGCTCTGCACAGAAATATATTATAAACATTAAAATGAAAAACTTATTTTCAATGGCAATAACCTATGTATTTTAAGGTAGGAACTAGGCCTCTTGGAAATAGAGTGCATATAAAAAATCTACACAGCCCTACTGAAATGCCAAGTTTTTTTGGGGGAAAAATCAGACCAAGATAATTTATTTCAGAATTTTTTCCAATTTTCATAGAAACATAAGCCGTACAATTCAATTGAAACACTGAAATCTTTCAGGAGGAAAAAAAATAAAAAAACAATAACGTGGTTGCATAAGTGTGCACACCTTTAAACTAATACTTTGTTGAAGCAGCATGGCTTTTGCTGTAAGAGGCAACTGAGTAAATGTCAAAAAATCCTATTAGAACAGTTGAAAATGGGCCTGATCAGTCACTTTAATGGCAACTGTGTACTACTATTTAACCACAGTTTGAATGTGATTGGTTAATTCTGAACATAGCCGCATCCTTACTTATAAGAGGGTGTGTACCCTTATGCAACCATGTTATTGTAAGATTTTTATTCCCCTCCCCGAAAGATTTCAGTCTGCTTTTTAATTGAATTGTACAGCTTATGTGTTATATTAAGAGTGGAAAAAATGCTGAAGTAATTTATCTTGGTCTGATTTCTTTACATCGTAAAAACCTGGCATTTTAACAGGGCTGTTTTTAACAGGAATTTATATAATCACTGCATATTTATTTATTTATTATTAAATTTATTTGCCACTCATCGCCTATCTGACAATTGCAACATAAAAACATTTTAAAAACATTAAAATAATCAACTATAAAATAACACAACAGATAAAACTACTAACACAAGATGGCAAAGGAGGGGGCCAGATGCATGGGAAGAGGTGGGATTAGGTTTTAATTAGTCAACTACATCCAGTGTGAAGCTTCCTCATTGGGTCTCCATGCCACCTGGCAGAGTCAGGTCTTAAGGCTGTAAGTCAGGAGGGTGGAAGCCAATCTCACCTCAGGGAGTAGGATGTTCAGAGGGCAGGAGCCATGGCTTTGGCTGATGGGATCCGTAATATACCCTGTAGTATACCCCCTCTGCTGGCGTGGGTGAGGCGGGCCAGTTCCATCAGGGCGGTCCAAGTAGCCTGCACTCCTCCCATGCAGGGCTTTAAACATATGTACTATAACTTTTTAAATTGTTTGTTATAAATACAGAACACTAGATCACTTTTATCTCCTCAAAACTAGGATCTAAGTGCCAGTAGAAAATTTTCTAACCTCTTTGGAATCCTATGAGGTAGTCAAAATAGTTCACAGTAAAAGCATCTTGTTGGGGGAAAGATTAAAGCCCCAATTTTAAAACAATTCTGAAACTCCCTTCCCTGAATTCTGTTTCACAAAAGCAAGATTGTATTAACAGCTATATTTAACATCATAAACTTCAACACTTCTGTTACATCTATCATTTCAATACCTCAGCATTCAATGAATACCAATTTATTTCATGTATCCTATTCAGTTTTTGTGATTGCTATATGCATCCTTCCATCAACTTTGGTTTAAAAGTATTAAGTGCATGAATTATTTTCTATTTTAAATCTATCCTTATTTCTTCAGTTACCAAAATTCAGCAGAGCAAGATTCTGTCACTATTGTGCATTAGTAAGTTCTAGAGTCCAGGCCCACTGACAGGGAAATGTATTGAAAGATAACAGAGGTGCAGCCACCATCATTCCTTTTTCTCCCATCGAAATCCAGGGCAATGATTCTTCATATCCTATTAGCCTCACCTGAAATTATAAAAAGCTATTATAAATGGGAGGAAAGTAGGAAGAAAGCTTTTCAGATGAAAAATGGATTCATGTGTCATAAGAAGAAATAATTAGCTGCTCTCATGGATTACACAAAATCATGGCTTATTTGAAGTACAATTTAAACTAGAAATATGTTAATTGATGTTCAATCTGTGGTCTGCATTTTTTTTTTGCTGGAAATCCGTTCAAACTCCACCATTCCGAAGGGTGTTCATCACAAAGTAGATAGCTAAATGTCTATGAAGGTTCTCAGTCAACCAGGTCATGGTTGTCCCTTTCTTTCAAAAGGCAATTGAACTTTCTTGCTTTGCTTGAAGAAGCTTCTTCAGTTCTGACTGAATGGTGCAGAATTGCAGACTAAGGGATTTAGGTGACCTTGAAGGCACAAATAAACCTCCACATGGCTTCAACAACTCTCAGAAAGAGGGCTAACGACCACTTGATTGCAAGGAATATAAATCCTTCCATTCTCCACCTTTCAGTCAGAATTGAAGAAGCATCTTGAATGAGAAGCAAAACATCTTCAAGCGAAACAAGAAAGTCCAGTTGCCTTTTGAAAGAAAGCACCTTTCGGGCAACTATGATCTGGATCAGGGGTAGTCAACCTTGGCTCTTATATGACTCGTGGACTTCAACTTCCAGAATTCCTGAGCCAGCCATGCTGGCTCAGGAATTCTGGGAGTTGAAGTCCACGAGTCATAAAAAAGCCAAGGTTGGCTACCCCTGATCTGGATGATGGAGAATCTCTATAGACATTGAGCCACAAAATCAAACCAGGAACTAAACCTAAGGATCTCTGTCCATACATATGCTCAGCCACAGTGGCAGTAGTAAGCTAATGGCTACCTTGATTTGACAGCCTAAAACCTTGTTTTTTCATCAGCCTTCCACATAGCATATTAAGTAAAAAAAAAACCCATTATATAAATTTTGCAGTTTTCTGCACATTTGCCTGGTTGTGACTAAGTTTCATGCACAGAGATTACTAAATTACATATCCAAATAAAGATCTAGGAGGCTGCAGTCCTTAGACCTTCTTCCACTGAAGTAAAATTTGTTTTGGCTACACGAATATCAGGCATGTTTGATTAAAAGTAGTTCAAANAAGGGGGGAGGCCTGGCGACGCTGCGCCCTGCCGGGCGCTCACTGACAGGGCCGGGGGGGCCGAGGCGGCCAGGGAGGAACAGCCAAAATGCCCCCTCGGCTTATGCGCGGGTCACCAATTTTTCCCAGTTCTCTGTGGGAAAATCGGTCCCTCGGCTTATACTCGGGTCGACTTATACTCGAGTATATACGGTAGGTAAAACATAGGGGGGGAAAAACTTTTTTTCTGTTCCAGTCTAGGAAGAGCCACACATAAATGGCTGTTCCTGCTTGTTTCCATTGCCAAAAATCTTTGAGCAGGGCTGTGTTAATGTGGAAAGTTATAGGACTGTCTTTTTTTATTTGAACATTTTAGTAGAATTTGCTTCTGATAATTCTTGAATTGGGATACTGCAGTCAACTAATATGCTTGGCAGCCAACAAAAAACTATGATGTGAATACTCGGCTCACACAGAGATTGAGAAATGCTGAGCATGTAAATGGAAGAGTTGGGAATCCATTCATTTGTATCCCACCTGCTTATCACTGTTGCATTGTATAGGGACAGTTTGTATTGCATACGTTCATGATGTAGATATTCAGTATTTATAGTCTTAATGGTGGCTGTGATATCAGTATATTGCAAAAGTAATTAAGCAGACAGACTTCTGTATTTTCTTCCTATCCTAGTCTTTCCAGTGCCAGTCTTCCTCTAGCCAAGATAATTCCAATAATAAATGGGCAGATCCATTCAGTCTGCAGCGAAACACCTAGCCATTTTGTTCAGGTAAGAAAGCCACTTTTTTGCCTGTCTTAAAATGAAATTCTATTCAAACCTTGAAAATAAGTCTGACTTAGTTTGGTAGGATTTATTCTTAGGTAAGTGTGTTTAGCACTGAAGCCTTAGTCTATTTTAAAATTATATATCATCCTTGCTGAATCTAAATTCCAGTGAGTTTTAAAACGAAATTAAAATAACAGGGAATAACAAATCATGAGCAGATTAAGATATTCATCATTAAGGTGGGACATTTTTTCAACCTATTCTTTATTCTCATGACTAGACAGTAATAAAAGGAGGAAAACTTAAATCTTTTTGAGACAGAAAAAAAGGCTTTAGGCTTCCTTTATATTCCCACCCCTTCCCAAATCTTTTACATCTCTTCTATTTCATATATTTTAATTTTGACTTTGCGCTGCTTTAGTGTAGATATGCTAATACTGCAAAGATTCAATTTCAGTTCTTAATATGGTAAAAATGGTACACCATGATAAAACAGAGCAAATATCAAACATCTGAATATTCTTTTTAGGACTTATTAATGATGGAACAAGTGAAAGACTTCGCTGCTAATGTATATGAAGCCTTCAGTACCCCACAACAACTAGAGAAGTAAACTGCTGTTCAATATGTACAGAATATACTATTTAGTATCCAGTTATTGTGACTATTCATTTTGATAATGAAACTCTTAACAGAGTGCTATAGAATGACTGTCCTTGTAAATCAAACACATTTTAAAAAGTTCATTTCCAAATTTTTATAATGGAATTCCTACAGCTGACTAAAGTAATTATTAATATAAAAAAATCTTTGTGCTGTAAGCCTTTGCATTGAGGCAGTCAATTTTAAATAACTTGTTTACAAAAAAGCAGTGCAATGAGCACTGTGTCAACAGAAAGCTTCTGAAGATTAATGGCAGTCTTTACAATTGTGCAGACTACCACAGCAACAGTATGATGGGAAAACTAAGTCCAGTCGATTTTCAGGCTGGAGTAATAAAATCTTTCTGCAGTTTCTCTCCTATTCAGCGACTTATCAGTTGTATTAGAAACACAACATGACAGTGGGCAGATGGAACAAAAATAACCCAGTTATTAAACCCAGTTCTGGTATATCTGACACCATTTTCCCCCATCGGTAAATGAGAATGGGTTTTAGTTGAAGTTTCTCTTGGCACAAAACCACCATACAATTCTCACTCTACAACTGAATAAGAGGGACTTTGATCAAAAGATCATTATGCTCCTATTATATTTCTGGTGGTGGATGAGTAATTATGCTTTTCTCTTTTTTAACCACCAAATGTTTTTCTTAAGCTGACTTGGGGGAGCAGATAAGCAACCCAGCAATGGGCTAGATGGCTTTCAAAGTTTTAGGTTCTTCAGACTGGGACTACTATATGCTAAGGGTCTGCTGTGGTCTGAAAAGTGCAATGTTGAGCTTGCTGTATAAGTTTGGAATTGAAATGCATTGTTTCTAGCAAAAATTATGTTTACAATGTTTATAAATGGCTATTGCTGTATACATTCATTTTGTAAATATTTTTAATTTGTATTTACTTGGATCCCTACAAAATATCTGAATCACAATAAACTATTTTGACAGATTACATACTGTCCTGGTCAATATTGTTTATGGGATTAGGAATTTATTGTTTAGAGTTTATCCCCAGTTCTTTGAATGTAAAGTGAAACATCAGATAGTTGCAAAGCTGCAGTTTAATCAGTTAATACAAATAATAAAAGATCTAATGTAACAATACAAGGTAACAATAACTAAATCTCAAACGTGAATTTATCCCTTTTGAAGTTGTCTTAGACAATTTCACTAGTGATGCTCTGCATAGAAATATATTATAAACATTAAAATGAAAAACTTATTTTCAATGGCAATAATCTATGTATTTTAAGGTAGGAACTAGGCCTCTTGGAAATAGAGTGCATATAAAAAATCTACACAGCCCTACTGAAATGCCAAGTTTTTTTGGGGGAAAAATCAGACCAAGATAATTTATTTCAGAATTTTTTCCAATTTTCATAGAAACATAAACCGTACAATTCAATTGAAACACTGAAATCTTTCAGGAGGAAAAAAAATAAAAAACAATAACGTGGTTGCATAAGTGTGCACACCTTTAAACTAATACTTTGTTGAAGCAGCATGGCTTTTGCTGTAAGAGGCAACTGAGTAAATGTCAAAAAATCCTATTAGAACAGTTGAAAATGGGCCTGATCAGTCACTTTAATGGCAACTGTGTACTACTATTTAACCACAGTTTGAATGTGATTGGTTAATTCTGAACATAGCCGCATCCTTACTTATAAGAGGGTGTGTACCCTTATGCAACCATGTTATTGTAAGATTTTTATTCCCCTCCCCGAAAAATTTCAGTCTGCTTTTTAATTGAATTGTACAGCTTATGTGTTATATTAAGAGTGGAAAAAATGCTGAAGTAATTTATCTTGGTCTGATTTCTTTACATCGTAAAAACCTGGCATTTTAACAGGGCTGTTTTTAACAGGAATTTATATAACCACTGCATATTTATTTATTTATTATTAAATTTATTTGCCACTCATCGCCTATCTGACAATTGCAACATAAAAACATTTTAAAAACATTAAAATAATCAACTATAAAATAACACAACAGATAAAACTACTAACACAAGATGGCAAAGGAGGGGGCCAGATGCATGGGGAGAGGTGGGATTAGGTTTTAATTAGTCAACCACATCCAGTGTGAAGCTTCCTCATTGGGTCTCCATGCTACCTGGCAGAGTCAGGTCTTAAGGCTGTAAGTCAGGAGGGTGGAAGCCAATCTCACCTCAGGGAGTAGGATGTTCAGAGGGCAGGAGCCATGGCTTTGGCTGCTGGGATCCGTAGTATACCCTGTAGTATATTCCTTCTGCTGGCGTGGGTGAAGCGGGCCAGTCCCATTAGGGCGGTCCAAGTAGCCTGCACTCATCCCATGCAGGGCTTTAAACATATATACTATAACTTTTAAAATTGTTTGTTATCTAGTACCTCTAAGAACAAATACAGAACACTAGATCACTTTTATCTCCTCAAAACTAGGATCTAAGTGCCAGTAGAAAATTTTCTAACCTCTTTGGAATCCTATGAGGTAGTCAAAATAGTTCACAGTAAAAGCATATTGTTGGGGGAAAGATTAAAGCTCCCATTTTAAAACAATTCTGAAACTCCCTTCCCTGAATTCTGTTTCACAAAAGCAAGATTGTATTAACAGCTATATTTAACATCATAAACTTCAACACTTCTGTTACATCTATCATTTCAATACCTCAGCATTCAATGAATATCAATTTATTTCATGTATCCTATTCAGTTTTTGTGATTGCTATATGCATCCTTCCATCAACTTTGCTTTAAAAGTATTAAGTGCATGAATTATTTTCTATTTTAAATCTATCCTTATTTCTTCAGTTACCAAAATTCAGCAGAGCAAGATTCTGTCACTATTGTGCATTAGTAAGTTCTAGAGTCCAGGCCCACTGACAGGGAAATGTATTGAAAGATAACAGAGGTGCAGCCACCATCATTCCTTTTTCTCCCATCAAAATCCAGGGCAATGATTCTTCATATCCTATTAGCCTCACCTGAAATTATAAAAAGCTATTATAAATGGGAGGAAAGTAGGAAGAAAGCTTTTCAGATGAAAAATGGATTCATGTGTCATAAGAAGAAATAATTAGCTGCTCTCATGGATTACACAAAATCATGGCTTATTTGAAGTACAATTTAAACTACAAATATGTTAATTGGTGTTCAACCCTGTGGTCTGCAATTTTATTTTTTTTTGCTGGAAATCCGTTCAAACTCCCACACCATTCCGAAGGGTGTTCATCACAAAGTAGATAGCTAAATGTCTATGAAGGTTCTCAGTCAACCAGGTCATGGTTGTCCCTTTCTTTCAAAAGGCAACTGAACTTTCTTGCTTTGCTTGAAGAAGCTTCTTCAGTTCTGACTGAATGGTGCAGAATTGCAGACTAAAGGATTTAGGTGACCTTGAAGGCACAAATAAACCTCCATGTGGCTTCAACAACTCTCAGAAAGAGGGCTAACAACCACATGATTGCAAGGAATATAAATCCTTCCATTCTCCACCTTTCAGTCAGAATTGAAGCAGCATCTTGAATGAGAAGCAAAACGTCTTCAAGCAAAATAAGAAAGTCCAGTTGCCTTTTGAAAGAAAGCACCTTTCGGGCAACTATGATCTGGATCAGGGGTAGTCAACCTTGGCTCTTTTATGACCCGTGGACTTCAACTCCCAAAATTCTGGGAGTTGAAGTCCACGAGTCATAAAAGAGCCAAGGTTGACTACCCCTGATCTGGATGATGGAGAATCTCTATAGACATTGAGCCACAAAATCAAACCAGGAACTAAACCTGAGGATCTCTGTCCATACACATGCTCAGCCACAGTGGCAGTAGTAGGCTAATGGCTACCTTGATTTGACAGCCTAAAACCCTGTTTTTTCATCAGCCTTCCACATAGCATATTAAGTATTTTTTTTTTGGGTAATATATTTAAAACGTCAAAAGACGTGTAAACGGACCAACACTGATTCAAAGTACGTGTCTCTAATGATTTAATGTATAGGTTTATTTCTAGATCCTCCGACGTCAGGAATCTGGAAGAAGGTGACTTCATTTTAAACAAAACCGATGTGCTTATAGTCCGTACAAACTAATTTTCATCAAGTTTGAAGCCATCCTATCATGTGAACTTGTTATTGCTGTTCTGTTATGGTCTTCATCTCAGGACTATGAAACCAATCATGGCTAGGCTATTTGGTTACTGAAACATATTACACATTATAGTTTCCCAGTTAGATTCCTGAAAGGAAATTTGGGGGTGGAATAGGACATGGTGATAGAGATGGGCAGTTGCATCAATTATCAGATGTTTCTGATTTACTGAAGGATCAGAGTTTGTTGTGGTACGTACATAGTCCAGTCTGACATAGCATGTTCTGTATACTAATGCTAACTATTTCTCCAGAGTTCCACCTAAGCAGCAGTAAAAACAATCTTAAAAGTCCATACTCACAAAAGCCCCAAAAGATAGACATAACAATCCCTATTCATTGGAAGAGAGGATCAATATGATCTTTAGTTTGCAAATGCCTAGTGGCATTTTCTGATGTTTTCAGCTATAATCTGAATCACTTACCTTTGTTTGCCCAAGAATAGCTTTTGGTTCACCCAGTGTCAGAGTTCCTGAAGATGGCCACTTAAGGAAAATGGCATACAGAATGCTGTTTTCTGGTTTGAATGTGTACCTGATGGAGATACTGTATTCTATTATGTATCTTCAGTCTTTCAAAATAAAAATCTTTGCAAGACCTCTGAGAAGTAACAGTAATAAAACTATTAACAGATATTTTAAAAATTAAGTCGCTTGCCAGGAACAATTATGATACTTTGTCTTTTGGGGAAAAGGAAAATCTAGAGCAGACATGTCAAACTCACGACGTCATGTGACGTCGCGCAACGTATCGGGACAGTTTTGCCATTGCCGGCAATGGGGTGGGCGCGGCTTCTACGTGATGCATCTAGCCCGCGGGCCGGCAGTTTGACACCCCTGATCTAGAGGCAAAAAACAGTAGACCGCTGCCCTGCTTGTTATCCCAAATAGGGACAGCTGATGTGGGAAGAGAGAATGAAATGACGATTGAGTTTTGTGATGAGTATTTCCACAAACAAATAAACTAATAGTCTACCAATACTTGATCATTAAGTGTTCTAAAACTGCATACATTTTTGTGAAGAAATGTTCTTTAATAGCTTATAGTTTTTAGAAATGCCAATAACACCAAGACTGACGTATATGTACCAAACTCCTAATAAGTAGCAGATTGGAGGTAATGGGAGCCAGGGCGTATTCTGGAATATATTATAGCAATCTAGGGTTGTTATCTTACATCACGAAGGAAGCACATTTTGAAATCGCATGAAGGTTTTTCTCGAAGCAAACAGCAGTCTCAGGAAGTAATTAATTTGGATCAGAATAAATAGTATCCTTTCCCCTTATATCTACTTCTTTCAAATCTTGTATCTACGTCTTTCAAAATATATTAGAGATCAAACAATGTATAAGTATGCATTAGCAATTGATTTCTGTAGCTAATATATCAATCCATATATAACCAATCCTGCTGGAAACATCTACAGGTATAAGTCTTTCACTTCTGCCATTAAATCTAGCACTGAAACAAATAAATTCATGTTTCGTTTTAATTCAATTAATTTTAAATGCAGCTTTGTATCTAATCATTGCTGCCCAACACATTCTTATTTCTGACAGTTTTTTTAAAAAAAAAACTATGTTATCTGCAACTGATGAAAAGTTGAGCAACAAGTTTTATCTATGTTCCTAGCCAAACCAAATGTGAATAATAGGAAATTGTAACTGTTCATCTTCTGCTGAACATCTATTTTAGTTTCCTCCCTCTTCTGCAGCCACCTAAATATAAAAATTCAGGTGCAATCATACACAATTTTAACAACATAACCCTATATGTATGATTACAACATAAGGCCCAGGTTACTCACAAGTAAATCTTGTTCAGTTTAAACATGTTTAAGACTACTTAGTTACTTTAATATTGTCCAGATCACTGATCTCATAAACTCACCAGACTCCTGGTGTTATACTATCATTTTGGGCTCTCCAAGTTTTTGTGCTGAAAATAGCTTCACCATTCAATGCCAACCAACTCCCCATTTGCTTCAGACGCTCTTCAAATACAATAGGAATGCGGCCATCATGGGTGGGCCCAATATTCATCAAAAGATTTCCTCCACATGCTACTGTCTCTACAAGTTGCTGAAACAATTTAGGAAAATTAACAATAAAGATTCTAAAATTCAAAACATCTGTTTGAGTTTTTCCGGTCTAAATAGGTATTTTTGTTATAATGCTGTCAGTGCACTGCTGTAGGTTGAAGCAAAGTAGAACTATTCAAGTGGAGTTGCCAATTCTCTGAATCACTACAAACTTCTTATTCATGAGCTCATCAACATCCTGCTCTGTACTTTACATTGTACTTTTGTCCTATGTGTGGCATTAGCCAGCTCTGTTCATCTTCATAATAGATCAAGTTTCTCTTAGTTCCTGGTGTTTCCTTTTGCTCATTTGACTGAAAATCAGGTCTATGTTCTAGAGGGATACACATATAGCAGATTACTTGAAGATTACATCTGCAAAGTTCCCATCTCTATGAGCTGTTTAAATCCACTGAATTCAAAAAAGAGTAAACTGGTAAAAACTTATTATCTTTAAGCATGTGTATAGCTTCTTTCTAAGTCTGAAATTATGAAGTTACCGAATAACATATTCAGGATTATGAAGTTTCTTCTAGTACTGCCAAATTACTCAAAGAAATAACCTCAAAGCTTTTGTTGAGAGAACTTCATTTCTTATGGGAATTGACCTGATGAGTGAACATAAAATAAATTTCTAACACAGCATCTTAGAACTTTACACAAACAGAGATGATGCAGGCCAGATCACACATTGAGCTAAGCCAATTTAGGCTTACTTGGTTTGATTTTATGAACCTAGAGATTGTAATTTTTGTACCATGATTTACGGTTTAGTGCAATGTTTGAACATATACAGTAAATCTAGGACATGATGGATTTAAAGGATCAGGATTTTGAATGGATCTGGATGCTCTTTGGGAATTGGCTAGCAAAAACTGACTGAATATATTCTTGCTTCTGTTTGTATTTGAGAAAACCGATCACATGGTATTCTGGCTTAAGTTTTGTAATGTGATATCTATAAGAATGGTTCAAAGTTAGATTGTATAGTACCTACATCCTGTATTTGCAAAATTTCTCATACAAATCAAAGAAACAAACTAAAACAGAAAGAGTAAAATGTGGAGTGAAATTGGGAAGATGAGAAGGGAATGAAAAGATAGGAAATTAAGTACTTTTTGCAAAATCTAGGATAACAAATTGTAAGGTTTAATTAGTTTATAAATTAATTTATAATCAGTGTTGATTCTTACTGACCACACAGATTATATTCAGGATAATTTGTCCTCAATCTATTCCTTCAGGTCTTCCAATGGTGAAGCCATTGCTGTAAATGAATCCATCTACCTTACTGCTAGTCGTCCTGCTGTCCCAACATTATGGCCAAATCTACAGGGGTAGATCTTGAATAACTTTTATCAATCTGAGGCTGTGATTTGTGCCTCAATTGGAAACTCTGGATTCATTTTTATGATGATCCATTTGTTTGTTCTCTTCGCGAACCACAGAATTTTTAAGTCTTTTACAATACCAAAATTAAAAAATAACAATACTCCTTCTAGCCTACTTCTTTAAATTATAATTTTCACTTCCATAGAAGCTTTCATTTCTTACAGAAAAAAACAGGGCCTGCACAAGTCTGATAATTGTAGATATAGATACATTCTAGCATATGAATATATTTTCCAAGGTCTTTATTGCTACTCTACCAAATGCAAATATGTGACTTATTTCTGCTGATTCTGGAACAGTTGATAATTGATCCTAAAAGGCAGAAGCTATCCACTCTCTCCACTGTCTGTTCTAAGGCTGGTTCTATACCTGTCATCTTTCATTTTAGTCCCATTTTTCCACTGTGCTCTTGATTTTTATTACTAGAGCTTGCAGATCCTTTGTGTTTTTACCTATCAGAATAGTATCATCAACTTGGGGCAGATTAGCGATACATCTTCCTCCAATTGTAAAACCATATTCATTTTCTTCCAATCCAGCTATCCTTAATATGTATTCAGCATTTTGGTTTGATAAATAAGGGGAGAAGATACAGCCTTGTCTCATTCCTTTACCAACCTAGAGCCAGTCTACTTCACCATATTGTCCATACTATTGCTTCCTGACCTTTGTATAAGATATGCATGAGAATAGTGAGGTGTTCTGTTAATTAGTTATTCTAACAATATATAATTTGTTACAGTTTTGAAATAAGCTATTAATATTTTCGGGGGGGGGGGAATTAATAGTCCCCATACAATTACAGGTAACATTTTGACTTGCCTTACCTTTATGAGATCTTCAATAGTCAGATAATCACTTAATTGTGCATTCCTTCGGTATCCCCAAGACTTTTTGTCAATTGTCATACAGTTCTCCCACTTATGGGACAAAAGATGTTTAGGACTGTATCGATCTGCACAAGTGAAATAACCTCCGTGTTTGCATATTGTGCCAGCTCCCCAGCGATCATTTGTTACAACTGTTTCCTTAACAGGGCTGAAAAATTAAAACACATTGTGCCAACTCAAAACTGCAAGGATGTTTCTTCACTGAATATAAGAAATAAACTTGAGAGGAAAAACAGGATATAACGAAACTTTCTTCAACTGAACTAAAAGAATAGGTCCATTATTCCCAAATGTCAGGTCAGGTCTGTCTGTCTATCATACAAATAATCCTCAGGTTACAATGGTGATCGGGGCCAGAATTTCCATTGCTAAGCAATGCAGTTGTAAAGCACAACATCGTGCAATCCTGAGGCTTAGTGATGATAATCCTGGCATTCCTGGTTGCCATCATAACCTGAGGACCACACAGGTCATTAAGCGGGGGCCTCATGTGATTGTGACTCTCTACCAGCTCCCTCATTGACTTTGTGGGAAGCAGGCCGGAATATATGAAGTTGCAATCACGTATCCACTGGGATGTTGACGGCCAGAATTCCAAGCACCGGTCGTAAGTAGTATTCATTCAGTGCCCCTGCAACTGGTATAGTGTCATTTGCATGCAAAGTCTGTTGTACTGAGGTCTTGGAAAATCAAGGTTTCATTGTAATTATATTTTTAACAATTAGGTAAAATCTTAAAACTGTTCCTATTCAGATTTAATATTATTTGTTTTCTGAATATGCACACGTCAGATTACTTTTTCTTCCATTCTGATTTTCAGAATCTTAAAACAATAAATGCCTGACATGGTTGCTATAGTCTAATTCTTTCTTCCTTGCTAGATAGTGGTCCTTCAGAGCAGAGCAGAGCAGTGATGTCTGTGGGGAAAGGGAAAGAGGGACCAAAATGACACAAGCAGCCTCACGTGGAGATGCAAGCCGTACTCCTTTTCTACATGGGCTGTGTTGTTGCACACCTTCCCTAAGAGGTGGAACTTGCAAAATGATATTACAACACTGTGGTCTGACCCTGTGGCATCATTTTAGCAGATAGGAATTGGAGACCTGCCAGATGGCTGTAACTTAGTGCACCTCAGCTCCCGTGGCAATGGTGGGAGATGATGGGCAGTGTGGTTCTACCACTAGTCCTGGCCCTTCTCTTTCTTCAAGCGAAAGTACCGTTCAAAGGGACATAATAATTAAGGCAAGCTTCTCACACACATGAAGTTTCCAGATAGAAAATTTTCAAAGTACATTTAACCATAATCGTATGATTTACTTTAACAAAGGGCTTAACAGAAGAACTTAACACATGCAATTTGCTATTCTGAAATTCTCTGTCAAGTAATATACTCCGATTCTGACACATTTTCAGAAAACAAAAGCAACTGTGCATTCCTGGGTTAGAATTTTAGAAATGCCAGTTTTAAATCCATTACTTCTCCATCAACTTTGAAGAAGTGTCAGTTCTCTTGATTGTCTGATACTTGATTTTTGGGAGGCCCGCTTGTAAGTACATTGCAAATGTTTTTAAACATAATATCAAATCAGAGATAAAACAGTAAATCTAAACATAACGAACACAGTGGAACTGCAAATCTTTGCAAACACAAAGAACAAATACAAAGAACAATGTTTGTGGAAGGCAGAAAGCTGAAAAACAGGAGCTGCAACCTTATGATGTATTTAGGCAGTAGTTCCCAACAGGCTCTGGATTAAATCTCTGACTTTAAGTAGGGTGGAGGAAAAGAGAGAGTTATGCATTAAACTGTTAATTCATCCTGTATCTGAATTTCTTTGGCCACCACAAATTGAGAACATAAAATTCCAAATAAAGAAATAAAAAAACAACAACATAAAACTAAGATAAGAAGCTACAAGAACAGTAATAAAAATGCCACAGTAATAAAATGCAACACATAAAATTACAGTAAAACCAGCAACAATATAAATGGTATGGCGTTCTAAAAGAAATTTTAATGGCTGGGAGGATGAGGGTTCAACTGATGCCAAAAAGTATTGTTAACATAAAACCCAGGGAAGCTGCTCTAACCTATTGCTAACAGCATAAACTATGCAAGTAACTCAGAAATTAAATTATGTGGCAGCTGTGTGAAGAAAAAGTCAAACTTTCTCCAAAGCTGGCTGTGATTGGATGGGCACAAGAAATACTCCTAAGTGATATACAAAAATATGAAATGTTTAATTTTTTTCTCTCCATCAAGATATTGTTTTAGATCATAGAATCCAATTAACTATTTTAGAAGTAATACCTTAATCGTAGTACTATTTAAAAATAAGGGAGCAATGTGAACCAAGACTGCAGTTTAAAGTAATCAATAATACAATGTATTATGATTGGGGCACAATTTCCTTCTAAATGTTTAGGCAAAATGCATTATTTCAATACGAAAACAACACATACCTGTCATTATAAAGCCATGCTAGGAAGGCAGTGCTGTTCCAGTAAGTATCTGGAGCATTCCCATCGCCATCTGACCACAGAATCTCTGGTTGATATCGCGTCACAATCTCATAAAGCTCTGGAAGAGTTTTGACATTTGGAAACTGTTGTTTCTTAAATTTGCTAGCAGCATCATCACGGAAGAGAGGGTGGAACCATTCAAACAGTGAGTGATATAGCCCAAAATGTAAGCTTGTCCGGTTTCTAATGGATGTAGCTAACTCCTTCACGAGGTCCCGTTTCGGTCCCATATCAACACTGTTCCAATTCCAGGAATATTTTGACCCCCACAGAGTAAAACCTGGTCAAAGAAAGAAAATGGTTAGGAATGAATTATTTTGGATGTGTACACTATATATTCTGGAAACCTATTTTGCATTTTTGTTTGCCATTGTTATCTCCTGATGTGAGACTAATGAGATTATGCATTGTATAAGGCATCTTCAACAAGATAATCTAAATTTGTATACTGATACAAGATCACTAGATGATACAGGATTGCTTGTCCTATATTATTTCAATCTTCTGTGCAGTGTCCTAGGACAAAATGTAAGATATAAGTGACTTATTATTAATACACCATGCTAAGCCACACAATATACTTATTTAGGGCCCAGCATGACATCTAACTCCATCTTTTACAGATTATCATGTAAACCAAGCCTTTCTCGCTTTTTCTATAAAAGGAGGTAAAAATACCCCTAAATTGAACTGGAATCCTTTTTGGCTGAGTTATAGAAATGACTTGCCATTGCTGTCTTCCATGACGTCTGAGATTTTCCAGTAATTCTGTATCCAAGTATCAACCAGAGCCAACTCAACTTGGCTTCTAAGACACGGCTAGCTACTTCTGCTACCTGCTGCTGCTTGGCTTCTTCTACTGCATCATCATCATCATGGTTTAGCATCGTAACATTACTTTCAGCCATCTTTTTCTTTTTATTTAGAATATAATAATGATATCTCACCCAAGCCTTTCATCTGGTAAAATAACTAAACTGAGCCATTGAGATCCAAAAGAACTATGGTCACTTTACCTTCATGATGTTTTGAAGTCAAGACAATGTATTTGGCACCTGAAGCACTCAGAATATCTGCCCACTGGTTGGCATCAAAGAACTCAGCTGTAAACATAGGGCCAAACTCTTCATAAGTGAATCCAGGTTGGTAGTTTTCCTTCATAAAAGTTACATAAGGTTCCTTCTTTTTCTGTTGCCAATACCACCTGCAAAGGAACAGCATCCCATGTATCTGCATACAATGACAGAAGGACTAAGAAAGACAGACTGAAGCAAATTCTTACACATATCTTGAATGTCCTACTATATGAGCAGGTTTTGTGCAAGTGCAGAACCAGTGTTTTAAAATAATTTTTCTGATAATCTCAAAATGCATCAGATTCAAAGCTTGATAGTCCACAGAAGTCCGGAAACATAGCTTTAGAAGATAAATATATATATATAAAAAAGTTTGAAGTAAACAGAGTATAATTCGGTTTAATTTGTTAACTTTCCCTAGAACACTGGGGAAAGCTGCTGGGAAACATGGAAAGAAATAAGATGACCAGTAGCAAACTGTATAGACTTGAGTTAAATGGTGATACGTGCATCTTTGGAAGACTTGAAACACCACATTAAGGATAGATTATGATGGGGGAAAATATGTGGTTGCTAGGAGACAATACTGAGTTGATGGCACATAATCAATTTATCAATGTCTTGAGGGAAAGACCAGGTCTTTGCAACCTTCCAGAAGATTAATAGGATCAGGCTATCCACTCTCAGGGGAAAGCTGTTCCATAGGATAGGTGCTGCAACAAAGAAGGCATGTTTCCTGGGTCCTATAGAGGATTTGTTTTTACAGAAATGATCTGCAATATGCTCACTCTGCTGAATCTAGTGAAATGGGTTGAAACCATTGGAGATGGATAGTCCTATGCCATGGAAGATTCTAAAGGTGGTAACCAGCACGTTCAATTGCACTTGGAAGTCTACAGGGAGCCAGTGCATCTTGTACAACGATGGTGTCATATGGATAAATATCGATGCACTGCAAACTGTGTGTGCCCCTGCATTCTGGATCAGAACATTGTTCATACCCCATGTAGAGCCAATCTGCTATAACAGTAATTCCTCTAGGAAATAAAATAAGAAGAAATGGACATGATTGCTGATTTAAATGATGCGTATTTGAGAGAAGTGGCAGGTCAATTAACAGCAAGAAATAAAGTCCTTTGGATAGCAAAATCCTTCCAGGCAAGCAGAGCCTGGTTTGTTAATGGTTTCTACTTCCTGGCTTGATCTCCAACTCTACTCTCTTATCTATTTCCAGGATTCACACTGAGTGATTCACATCTTAAAATTAACCCATAAACTACACTTCAAAATCAATGCTGTTGTTTATCCTTGAGTACAGCAGCAAAATTATGTGAAAGGCAGGCATATGAGACTTCCCTAACATACACATACAGACAAACCTTTTACTTAAAAATAGAAATAAAAGCAGAAGTTGCATAAGGAGAACTAAAAATGACACAATTCTCCAAAGGCCCAAGAATAATGAAATCAGCTGAGAATGTTAGCTGGAAAAAGTAAAGGACGAAGGAAAATCCTGCTATTTCAAGATTTTCAAACGGGGCTAGGCAATATAATGCCTATGGGTGCCTCTCCCTGAATCCGCAAAGTGTTCGGCAACACCCACGATTTCCAAACATCCAGACAGACTGGAGTGCTTCGGGTCAGGATTAAAAGGATTAAAAGTACTTTAGTGTTATCACGATTCTCACATTACCCCAAGGGGGGGGAATTTGCAATGAGATTAAGAGCATGCCAGCTTCATTTTATGCCCGCTTCATTTTATGCCCGTCTTCACAGCTGATAAGAATCTTAAATCACACACTGCTCGTTGCGAGTTCCCCAGGAACCGGGAGGAGAGGAGAGGTGAAAGAAAGCGCGTGGCAAAGCTGGCAGACGGGAACCTCACCAAAACCACTCGCTGCCGAAGCTTGGCACGGAAAAAACACCCCAGTGGATGAAAATCCCAAACTTGGCTTCATCGAACCAGGGCGGAAGCGGCCGGGAGTCCAGAGACTCCCACGTCGGGTCGTAGCGACCACCCCGGCCCCATGAGGGGAGCAGGAGGAAGATGAGCAGCGGCAATAGCAGCGGAGGCAACAGCAGCAAGAAACGAGGAAACCCACGCCGGGGAAGGAAGGAAACGACCGGCCCAGCCATGAGAACCCGGGCGAAACTCCCAACGTTTCTCGCTCGCTCGCTCGCTCCTCCGCCGCCGAGTCACATGGACGCCGAGTCACGTGATCACCGGACCTCCTCCTGCTGCTGCTCTCGCCATCGAGGCTTTTGAGTTCTGCCTTGCTGCGGAACGGGTTTGTGTCAGGTTGTGTGAGGTTGTGCAATACGTAGGTTGGGTCAGAGATTTGTGAGACGGTCCTTTGTCTAAGGCTGCAGGCTCGTCAAGATGCTCTCTTGGAAAGGAAAGGAAAGGAAAGGAAAGGAAAGGAAAGAAGGAAAGGAAAGGAAAAAAGGAAAGGAAAGGAAAGGAAAGGAAAAGCGGTGGGATTTATTGACAAGTTCATCCCATCTTTTAGATATGGGAGGGAAAGAAAGATGACATCTTGTAACGTTTACCTGGTAATACAGATAGTCCTCGAGTTACAACAGTTCGTTTAGTGACCGTTCACAGTTACAACGGCACTGAAAAAAGTGACTTCTGACCGTTTTTCACACTTACAACCATATGCAGCATTTTCATGGTCACATGACCAAAATTCAGCCACTTGGGAACCGAGTCATATTTATGACGGTTGTAGTGTCGTAGGGTCATGTGATCACCTTGTGTGATCTTCTGACAAGCGAGGTCAACGGGGAAGCCAGATTCACTTCACAACCATGATACTAACTTAAGAATTTCAGTGATTCACTCAACAGCCATGGCGAGAAAAGTCGTAAAATGGGGTAAAACTCACTTAACAATTGTCTCGCTTAGCAGCAGAAATTTTAGGCTCAATTGTGGTTGTAAGTCGGGGACTACCTGTACTACTTTTGTGCCTTCGAGTTAGTATTGATTGTCTGGATGCGTTCCTGCACTTTTGGGGGCAAGATTTCAGAAGTGGTTTGCCCTTGCTTGCTTCCTAGGCCTGAGAGTGACTGGCCCAAGGGCATCCAGCTGGCTTCATGCCCATGGTCTCCCAATTTCTACATGGGGCCTAGATGCTACTCCAAACTGGCTCAGTTATTACTACGGTTGCATAAGATTTGATGTAAGCCACTTTACTCTTTATCAGCCATTTTGATTTGATCCTTCTTAATTATGCAACTGGTTCTCAGATGTTTATTGTGAATTAATGCCTGATTTTTATTTAATATTTAATTTTCTCTTAAGGTAATAACCTGGTGTTGGTAGAAATTCTAGCCCACTGAACAACACCAAACAGCAAGTTGAAATTAGACAGAGATTTATTGGATACAACGGTTTGCAAAGCATGGTGGACTCCAAATAAATATTTGAGCCACACCTAGTCACAACAAAGACACACATTATATACATTCTATCCCGACGCCTTGGCCCCTCCTCTGAGGTTACAATCTTATCAGGATCGCCTAAACAAAATACATTATCCCTGCCCCTTACTATTTTGCTTCACCTATTCCCTTATATGTACTTTATCATGAAATCCTATAG